GTGTTTCTCTGTTGTTTATTGTTTATTGTGTTTGTTTATTGTTTACTGTATGATTCTGTCACACATCCACTTTTAATCCCAATCAACCATTGAGAGCTGATCTATTGATTAACGTCGATAATCAATAACTATTTCCTGTTAGAGACGTTTTAAAGGACAAAGATTCAGAGTGGACACTGAAGGATCAATAAATCAGCTGTCGATCAATTCTCTTTATTTTCACAAACAAACAAACAGTGATGACGTGTCACTTCCTGTCAGTGTCCAATCACAGTCCAGGATGTGAGGTCACACAACGTGACCCACAATCCTTTGCTTTGGCTGGTTGAGTCTGCGTCAACCAATCACATCCACAGAAACTCTGCTGTCCAATCAGAGTCCGTCCTCCTCTGTGATGTCATTAAACCAGCTCGGCCAATCAGCTGCGAGCTCACAGTCAAATATAGAAAGGGACCAATCAGCCGGTCCGAGCCTGTTGCCGTGGAAACAGGAGGACCACGTGATGCAGAGAGAGAGGTGTCACATCCTGTCCTGGTGACCTCACTTCCTCTGGGCGTGGCCTTTGTGGAACAGGTAGATCGGCCGCTGGTTACCTGGAAACACACACAGAGTTACACACTGATACACAACTGTGTGTGTACCTGTGTGTGTGTGTGTGTACCTGTGTGTGTGTGTGTGTACGTGTGTGTGTGTGTACCTGGTCTGGGCCCTCTGTGTACTGGCGGAGGACCTCCAGGCCTCTGTTCCCTCGGCCTCTGGTCTCTCTGTGGTCTCTGTGTTGTTGTTTGGGACTCGGGCTTCACCTCCACTCGGGGCTGAAAGAGTCAACAGGACACTTTTATAAGAAGAGAACGAAAGAGAGAGCAGCTTTTCTGCTGTTGGGATTTATGACTTCACTTCAGGCAAACAACCACTGGGATTATCATCAGGAAGGTTCAGCCAGCAGGGGGTGTGTGTCCCGCTGCCTTCAGAATAACAGGAGAGAAATATGCTCCAAACTAACCTCTCTACCGTTTTTAAAATAGTGACACGTTCTGCTACTAAAAACAGTTCGCAGCTAGAAGAAATGGTTGCTTTGAAATGTGTGCTCAATATAAATCCTAACTTTTTATACATTCTGTCAAACTTTTGAAATGAGGTTGTACTTAAACACTAGATTTACAATTAAAATGTAGCTAAGAGAATAAAATCAACCTTTCAGTCGAATTCCATCAAATTGTTGATTAAATGGTATAAAATCCTCTTTTCTAAATTATTCATTCCAGAGAAACTAATTAAAAACCTTCTCTTTTAACAGAACAGTTTTTCTGAAACTGTCTGCCTGTCCCTGCCTCAGGGCTGACTGAGTCAACAGTCTCTATATGTATACATATATTATATTCTATTATATTATATTATATTATATGAAATGTAATGCTGGGTTCAGAACTTTGAACGTACAGTTTGTCATTTCTCTCACATCCAAACAACAAAAGTCGTAGTTTGATGAAGTGGTGAAGTTTTCGTCTTCACTGTTTAACACTTGCTGATTAAAAGTGACTCAGACAGAAATTGTTCACAGATGAGGGAATATTAGTTTTAATCCTGAGCTCATTAATGAGACCTTCTGAAGACCCATTACAATGGATCAGTTTCATATTATAGCTACAGGATGAACACACGTTCTCTTCTGATAGAAGTAACATTAACTTCATTAATCCATATTTAAGACTTTTTAAGACCCAAAATTCTCATTAATGGATTTGTTGTTAGAGGAGGGAAACGAACTATTAGCTGAATAGAAACACTGATTCCTCTGGGTTTGAACATTGTTGGAAACAGCAGAGATGATGTAAGTACACAACTGTAAGTGTTTACATACAGGTGAATGTTTACAGACATCCTAACGCAGTAAATGTTACGTATTAATCCTTAAATATGAATGTCCGGCCCTTTAAACCTACCGGTGCTGTGGGAGTGACTTTGACGACGTGTGGGGAGATTCCTGAGACTGGGACGGCCCCGCTGGGAGGGAGGTTCTTACTGGTGACTGACGCCCAGGAGAACGGCTGTGGGAAGACAACAGACATTTACGACTCATCTCATCTCCATCTTTAAAAAAACTCCACAATCTGCTTTCACTAGCTTTGCCAAGAAGAGCCAGCTCTCACAGGTCATCACTGTGGTTTTCAGACCTACCCTGATTCCCTCTGGAGCAGCAGGGGCGGGCTCGGCAGGCACAGAGGAAGGTTCTGCGGTGGGTGGGGCAGCGGCGGGGCTTTTCTCTGTCTGGTCGTCGGCCGTGTGTGTGTCTGTTTGCGTCTCCAGCATCGTGTCCGGCTTCAGCTCCACGACTGCGGCCTCGGCCTCCTTCTCCACCTCCAGCTCCGGCTCTGGACTCGCTGCAGCCGCCTCCTCGTCGTCGCCAGGAACCGTCGGCTCCGAACTGTAAGGGACGAGATGGAGACGGTTACACACAGACCTGCTGCTCGTGCTGTGGAACAACAGACTTTGTTATCTGAAATAGGAATGTTTTGATAAAACACGCTCTTCCTGTTGGATAAAGCCCTACAGGGCAGTTTAGGTATCGGGAACATAAGCCACGATCGTGATCCGTACCAGGCTACCGGGTCGTAGAAGGGAGCAGACTCCTCCGCAGCAACGTCAGGGGAGGGGACCCTCTCCTCGATCTCCTCCACCTCATCCTCAGACTCTGAAAACACACACACACACACACACACCAACGTCACAACTACCTCCTGCTGCTCTCAGTGGAATAAAAGGGCTCTGCACAATGAATAGGTCCTTTCACTCTTTTATTCAACGACCGTTCTCTCCGCGACAATCAGGAAGTTTAAGGTTTCAAAGGCAGGGATTGTGATTTGTACCGAGCGGTGATAGAAACCGCTCAGCCGATGAGAGGAAGAGCTTAATAACAGTGAAAGCGGCATCAAAAACCACGGGCCAACATCTGCCAGGCATCAGTGATATTTAGAACACCCGCCTGCTGATGTTTCATTGACCTGAAGTATTTGTGACATCTTGATTTATCAGCGACGTGTATTTGTGTTTATTTGTACGCTTGTCTTTTGTTTTTGTGCACCCTGATCACACAGACAGATCCCAAACAATGTTTCATTCAAGAGTAATATACGATTAAATCTTTTGTCCGTAAGAGACAACTGAATATTTGTCACGATGAAGCTAGTGGTTTAATCTTGGAATTCAATTTCTTGCTTTGTGCACCTTCAATCTACCATCAGACATCAAACACTTTATGCTTCTTTAACGTGTTCAGCGGCTCCACCTGTCATAAATAAAAGACAGTACAGAATCCTGATGCTACAGCGCTGAGATAAGAAAAAAAGAATGAATCAGACAGTAACCTAATGTATCTTCAGCCAAATAACAGCAGGACCAGAAGGATCGTATTGACGAGGAACACAGGAGTCACTTTAATCACAGTTGCAAACAAAGATCTCACCTTCTGGGGGCTCAGAGTCAGAGTCCCCGAACACCTCGTCTTGGTAACGAAACACGTCGTTGTGGACGTAGAATTTGTTTGCCACGGTCCCCTGGAGGAGAAAACAAACACTTACTACAGAACACGAAAACACAAACTCGTACGGATCAAGCATTCACCCGCGCTCGAGACATCTGAGTCTAAAAAGGTTGATAGAGGTGAAGAACAAACCTCGGGGGCCAGCACAAAGGTCTGCATGAACTTCCTCATGGGCTGCATGTTGTTGGACAGCTCGCCCATCACCTGCACCACCACGCCCTCGTTCAGGGTGGCGTGGGCGTCCACGTGTCTGATCTTAGTGTGACAATCACGGAAACTCAGAGCCATCACCCTCTTATGGATCTCCTGCAAAACAAGAGCGCCAGTTCTCATTCCTACATGCTCAACGATTATTCCCATCAATGCTTTTGCTTTCTCAGTTTTAACTTCTAGAAATCATTTTAATCCCCGTTATGAACCAACAGAGGCGGAGCAGCAGTCCAGACTTTATTCTGCACAGCTTTCCACACCTGTACACTCAGGGAAGGTGATGAAATAAATAATGATACTGCAGTGAGTTTGCAGTATGAAAGATCTCTTCTCCCAGCTGCTGTGATCAGATTTCAACCAGCCCTTCAGCGGCTCTGTGCTCTAACTCTGATCAGTGGTTTTCCTCACTTCCCTTTAGAGGGTTTCTGCTGCTGCTGATTCATTTCTGCCAGGTAAGTGTGTGTGTGTGATTCAGTGCTTCTTCTCTGTACGTTAATATCAAAACACTTGCACACTCCCTTTTTGGTTGGTCTGATGTTTGGTCTGGTTTTCCTGCTCTGGAAACTGGAAAATGTGTATCTTTTGTCTTTTGTCTTTTGTGACAACTACACTGCAGCAGATAAGAGGAGCCAGTTTCAACTTGTCGGGCGACCTCGTGTTCTTTGCCGGAGCCCTCTGCTGCCGTTAGGAGTCGTGACATGAAAACACCGACACGCAGCGGTATTTCTCATGTTCATGTAACATAATGTTCCACTTCTTCTCACATTAGAGCACTTGTTCATGTTCTTACTCAACATTTTTCATTCTGGAGGATCAAGACTTTTATATTAAACATAATACAGACTGAGGAGGAGGAGGAGTTAACTAGGGGAATGTTTTATGTTCGTTATCAACTTCTTCAAACGTCCTTAAAGCAGAGCGAAGCGGAGACAACTTATAAAACTCCTTTCTGCTCCGTCGTTTGTTCTCCTCCCCCCACTCAGTGTTGGTATGTGGGAGTTAAGTGCACTGTCGCTCTATGGAAATAACATTTTGAAGAGCCGTTATCTGCCGTTTTGAAGCCCACTTACAGATTGTCCGTAAACAGCCTCTACTGGTTTGCCGTTGTTGTCCAGGCCGCCGTGAACGTAGGACGAGTTCTTCCCGTAAAACCTGAGCAGAGACAAACAGGTTCATTTGTTTATATTAACATGTTAAATTACAGGATTACATTAAAAAGCTCAAGAGTTCAAGGGAGGTTTCACATGACAAAGAGGGGGGGGGGTCGTACCTGTGCAGGTAGTCGGGGGC